TCTCTCAAAAAAAAAAAAAAAAAATCAGGAGGCAACCAATTCCGCCAAGGATGTGGAAAAAACAGAGCCTTGTATGCTGTAGGTGGGAAGGTAGATTGGTGCAGCCATCATGGAAAACAGTATGAAGGTTCCCCCAAAATTCAAAATAGATCTACTAGATGACCCAGTAATCTCTAGAAATGAAATCACCACCTCATAAAGACACTTGCACTCCTGTGTTTATTGAAACATTATTCTCGGTGGCCAAGATATGAAAACAGGCTAGTATATACCAATGGATGAATGGGTAAGAAAATCTTGGAATATAAAGACAATAGAATATTATTTAGACTTTAAAAAGGAGATTTTGCCATTTTCCACAACATGTATGGATCTGGAAGACATTTTAAATAAATAAATCCAACCCAGAAAGAAAAATATTGGAATGATCACTTATACATGGAAATAGAGAATATGACAATGATTATCCAGAGGCAGGGAAAAAAATAGGAAGACATAGGTTAGAAGTTACAAAAATAGCAGCTATGTAGAGTGAACAAGTCTAGAGAACTAATGTACAATGTGAAGATTATAGTTTAAGATTAAACTTTATTTGTGATTCCTGCTAAATTATTTTATTTTAGTTATTTATACCATGAAAAGAAAAATGGATATGTAAAATAATGGACATGTTTACTTATTTCATGATAGTATGCATTTTACTATCTATGTATGTCCTATAACATCATATGAGATACCTTAAATATAAACAAGATTTATCTTAAAAACTAAAAATAATAAATATTTAAAATTAATCTGATAAAAGATAATAGTTGTGAAATCTGTGTGGTAGGCACATGAGTATTTAATATATTATTCTCAGTATCTACCTAAATTTTTAAAGCATTGTTTTTTAAAGCTATTTCTAATAGCTGATTACAAGAACTCACTCTCTAGATGCAGCCATTCACTTGAACTTTGTCATCCTGCTGTGATATTTACTATTCATTAAAATATTTTTTATTGTAGCATGTCTGAGTAGTTTTGGGCAAGCACCAATGTTCCATTACTTATGCCTAGCCATATCTCGTGCCAGTTTAGGTATATGCAAAATATGCAAAAAATACATAAGGCACAGAAATATAATGTGTATAAAGATTTTCAATGCAGCTTCACTTATATAAGTGAAAAATTGAAAATAATCAATGAGAAGATTGACAAGATAAATGTGAAAAGAAAGACATCAAAATACAGTGTAGGTCAGCAGTTATTAAAAAGAAAAAAAAGAAAGAGAATAAAAGCTCTATCCATATAGGCACATTGATAGTGCAATAATCTTGAGACTGTCTACACAAATGGTATATATCCCTGGTAACTCCTGAACAGAGGTCAGTTGGGACAACATCAAGGGCCCAAAGAGGCATATCGTCACTTCCACTTCTTATATTTTTATAAGAATTCATTTTTAGAAAAATATTTGTTACTTAAAAGGATTAAATCTAGATATAAAATGTCCCTGCCAATGAAACATGAGGAGAGTAAGGAAATGTCTAATTAAGGATGGCCCCTTTGTGACTGTCTCCATCTGGGCACAAGATCTGGATTCAGCTGGGATTGTCCCTCACCTCTAATGCTAAGAAGCAGAAGACTGACACAGGAAGCCAAGTTGGTATAAAAGGCCATCTACAGCCTCCGGCCCTTTCACATAGCAGCTGGACTATGGGTATCCTTCAAGAGTTCCTCCTTGTGTTCCGAAGCTTGTGGAGACCTGCACTGAGACAAATCCTCTTTCAAGTATTTTAGGAACTGGGGGTGGTCATGCCTGGAAGAGGTAATCTACCAAGATGGCTGCCATCCATTGCTTCTCTATCAGTACTGTAGCAGGGTCTGCCTAACTATTCTTAGAAGTTCTTTAAAATACAAACTTCCTTAGGACATTACTGGTTTGGCTAAAATTTCCCTGGTGTTAGCAATGAAAGGTCCATATCCCAGGAAATACCTCAATCTGGACAGGACAACAGGTCACTCTACAAGAGATCTGAGCAGTGTGAGACATACTTGCTTATCCCCTGTTACCAGATGTGAGCAAACCACTCATCTGGGACATGCCTGCTCCAGCACACACCACAGCACAGGGGGAGGAGAAATTGAACAGCACAACTCAACCTAGATTGCAAAATAGTGAGAAATATTGAGTTGGTTTTGCTTTTAGTGTGTGTGTGTGTGTGTGTGTGTGTGTGTGTGTGTGTGTGTACGTATGTGTGTGTATTGGTGGGGTGGAGGAGGTTAGAAGTAACAACAGATCATAGATACAGTGCTCCAGGTCTAGAACCTGGCTGTCCTAGGTCCTGAATATGATCAGAACTTGGCTTACAATGCAAACTGGAGGGCTGGTGATGAGGCTCATTGGTGAAGCACTTGCCTAGCAGATGCCCTGGATTCGATCCTCACCACAGTGAACAAATAAATAAATTTGCAATGAAAAGGGAACTAGAAAATAAAGTAGAATTAGTCTAGTCAATTTTCTTCGCCTGGTACACAAATCTAACTAGGGCTATCACTCCCCTCGTCTCGGCCACATACCTTTTGCATTTCAGGATTTTGTTGAAATAAGCAGTTTTCATTTTCTCCTGAAGTTTTCTTGCACATTGTTCGGGCAATTTTGGCTTCAATATAGTACTCCAAACTATCTGTTACCTGTCAATGAGTAATTAAAAATTAAACATCAAAAAAGAAAACAGTATCAATTATCACTTCTAGTAAACAAGCATGCCAATTGGCTGCCTAGGGCAAGAATGTCTCCATGTCTTTCCTCTCTTCTACGTGTCTTTTCCAGAAGTTTGGGAATAATTTGGAGGGATTCTTACCTTTATATCTCTTTCTCTCACATTATGTTATTTAATCTTAAAGTAATGGCAACAGTCCCCAGGATAAAGCAAGAAAACTATCTTTCCCCCCACAGAAAAAAAAATCCCCATGGAAAAACTAATAGTTTACTTATTGAGGTTTAAGAAATACATAACAGTTTTTTTATCTTCACACCTAATCAATAGATATTGGGGGGATATTGACATGTTCCAGAACTGAAACTTTCACAGAGTGGATTGATTTTTTCTAAGACCTTCCATCTTTTTTAATTTCAGTAATCCATACCACAGTCCATGTAATGGAGCCTCTAAAAGCCCTACTTCCTAGACATCCTACCAGCACTGAGCCCCCAGCCAACCCTCCTTCTCCCCAAGGAGGGCCTCTTAGAGAGATGTAGTTATGCAACATGAAATATAGGCTTTTTATTATTGAGAAAGGTGCAACAACCACCATATGACCCAGCTATCCCACTCATTGGTATTTATCAAAAAAAAAAAACTAAAATCAGCATACTATATTTACACACACATGCTAGCGTTTATAGCAGTGAAATTCACAATAGCCAAGCTATGGAACCAGCCCCTTAACAGATAAATGGTAAAGAAAATGTTGTATACATACATGATGGAGTATTCATCAGCCATAAAGGAGAATAAAAGTATGACATTTGCTAGCAAATAAATGGATATGAACGGAAACATATCATGATAAGTAAAACTAGCCTCAAAAAAAAACAAGGGTCAAACGTTTTCTCTCATGCATACAAAAAAGGGGGGATAAAAAAGGTATCTCACAAAAATATAAGGGAGACCAATAAAGGAGGGGGGATCAAGAAAGAGTAAAGGAGGAGAAGGCATGAGGAGGTACTGGGGAATGAAATTGACCAAATTATACTATGTCTATGTACAAATATACCACAATAAATTCCACTTTTATGTATAATTATAATGCACCAATATTTACCCAAAAAAAGAACAGGGGAAAAGAAGAGGGACACAACTAGAAAAACAAGGTCTATAAGACTTTTAAAGGAGAAAACATATTAATGACCAAGTTAAACAGTAACTAGTCCCAAAACAATCATAGATAAATAAGAAAATATAATAGATATTTTAGAAATTCTGGGAAAGTTGCCCGGGCACTGACTAAAATGATTCTAGCAGGCAGAATTCTAATATGCCCCCAAAGTCCCCACCCTTGATGTCCCTGCCCTGTAAGATACTTAGGACTGTGAAAATGGCAGGTTTCACTCACTTTTAAAGCATAACTAACTTTAAGATGGATAAGGATATTAACCTGGTGAACTTGACCTCATCATATGAGACTTTTAAACCTGGGGTTAGGATAAAGGCAAATAAAATGAAAAATAAAAAGTCTCAGAATAAAAAGTTAGAAAAGGCGGGGAGGGAGCTGGGGATGTGGCTCAGTAGTTAAGTGTCTCTGGGATCAAACCCTGGTATCAAAAAATACAAAACAAAAAAATAAATAAACATCTTTTCTGGAAAAAAGAAAGAGTGGACATACTGTTGCTAAATGCAACCAAATGTAATATTGAAAGACAAAATCCCAACCAAAAGGTGGTTTGGTTTGGTTAGGTTTGGTTCGGTTTGGTTAGTTTGGTTTGATTTGGTTTGGTTTGGTGCTGGGGGTTGAACCCAGGGAGTTATGCATGCTAAGTACTCAGGAACATAATCTGTCACTGAGCCACACCTCCAGTCCTAAAAGGACATCATGTTAAACAAAATAAACCAAAAGCAGAAAGACAAGTATCACATCTTTTTCTCTCATATTTGGAAATTTTGGGAAAAAAACAAACTGAAAATAGAAATTATTTGGGAATGACCAGAGAGATGAGGGAGTGGAGAGACCAAAGAAGGAAAGAGAGAGTAGAAAGGAGAGTGGATATGATCAATGCACAGTATGTGCATGTATGGAGATGTCACAGTGAAACTCTGAATACAACACATGTTAATAACAAAAGAAGAATAACATAGAGAACTTAGTCTATTTTGTGCTGCTAAAATAGACTATCTGAGACTAGGTGATTTATTTTAAAAAAATAGATATTTATTTCTTAAAATTCTGGAAGCTGAGCAATCCACAGCCAAGGACCTGCATCTGGTGAGGGCCTTCTCACTGTGAGAGCCACTCACAGTGAGCATCAGAGGGCAAAAGAATGCACAAGAGAGTAAGAGCAAGCGAACTCACTCACAGCTTCAAGCCCTTTCATAATCAGCATCGACCCAATCATGATGGAAACACCAAACATCTGAGCCTACCTTCCAGTGCTATTGCACTGGGATTAAGTTTCCAACATATTTGTTTTGTTTTGTTTTGTTTTTTAGTGGGGACACATTCAAACCATATCATTTGTTCTGCTCCATAGAAAATTCTAATTCAGGCCCAAGATCTGATAAACAGATCAAGGGAAGAGAATTGTAATGTAGAATCCTACAATAAATTCAATATATTTAAATATTTGGTCTATGGTGTGCTGGCTTTTCAAAATATAGAGACTCTTTACTAAAGAGACTTGGGACAATTGACTTTTTTTAATGTAAAAGTTAGATCTAGTGCCTGTTCTATAAGTAAAAATAAATGCAGGATAGATTAATGATTTAAAAATTATAAATGTCTTAGAAGAATTACAACAGTTATACTTTAAATAGAAAAAGACTTCTTGAGACAAAAAACTCAAAAAAAACTTTTTTAATGAAAATGTTTTTAATTTAATAAATTTCTAAAAGAAAAGCATTCATCATTAATTAATAACTGGTTGTTATTTCATATAGTTAGACCTGAATATTTATTAGTGCATTACAGTTACACAAATAGTGGAGATCAGACTGACATAATTATGTATTCATGGAATATAATTATCCCCATTTCAGTCCCTAGTGCTTCCTCTTTACCCCTTTTACATATTATGTACTCTGCTGGGCTTCCTTCTATTTATTTATATCTTTTAATTGGGGCTTTATTGATGTACATAAAGGTGGAATTTACTGTGGTATAAATTTTATTTATATATATATATATATATATATTTGGTAAATATTTAGATATGGACACAGCATATTTGTGTTTGTTTCATGGTGTATTTCCTTCCTTCTGCAATCTCATTGCCCTCCCCCTCAATCTCCTTCCATTACTTCACTTACTCTTTGCTCTGTTTTCATGGAAAACCCAAAAAACTTAAAGGAATAAAAAACTAAATTCTATGTCAATATGTTTTCAAAAATCCAGACCCTATAAATAATATCAAACTACAAACAAGAAAAAGGAAAGTGCAAAATATTGGCAGTATATATAAAAACAATGAATTAATTTGAACTGCATATAAAGAACAACTACTAATTCGTAAGAGCAAGACAAATAATGCAGGCAAAAAAGAAAAATTATCAAAGAAAGTACATATTATCCCATGAACTCAATAAAAGACACTCTTCATGGTACAGAGAAATAAAACAAGATGCTATTTTTGCATCCATCAGATTGGCAACCATCTGAAAGACAAATGAGATCTACTATCGGTGATAACGGGCAAGAGATGTCCTCAGACCTGCAGCATTGGCAAAAATCAATTAAACTGATTTGATCTATAGCATGAATGAGAAACCTAAGTTCAATCCCCAATATCATAAAATAAATACTAATTTAAAACTTGATTTAGCCCTATTGAGGGTCAATTTGCCATTTTCTTGCAAATGACTCTCTAAACAAGGAATTCAAATCCAGAGTGCATATCCTAGTGATGTGTGCATAGGGATTTTCATTGTTGCAGTTTTCCTATCAACAAACCTAATGGCTGAAATTTTTTATCTAAGATACAGTGCAAATTATGAGTTAAATCTAAGTGCATTTTTATTGATTTCCAAGACATCTTAAGCAGCGAAAATACAGTGCAACACTATAATTGCATGAATATAAAACACACTTTTAAAGTTTTCAGTAATGTATATAAATGCATAACAAATAGCAGAATGACAGAGCCAACTGTTTTTATGGTGCCCTCAGCAACAAGGAGCCAGAATAGAAATGCAAGAAATTGAGTCTGCTCTCATATTTTAATTCAACAACTTTCAAATGTACTCCTAGAAATTTTCTATGACTGTAGATCAAATTTCTTAACCTCAGTGCCACTGAAATTTGAGGGCTGAAGTTTGGGAACTGGCCTATGTATTCTAGTATGTCCAGTAGCAGCATCCCTGGCCTCAACTCACTAGATGCTTGTAGCAGAACCTTCATAACAACCACAAATATCTCTAGGTATTGCCAACAATCTTCTAGTGAAGCAAACCATTCCCAGCTGAGAAACACAGCTTTATATTCAAATTATGCAGATGTTCCCTGAGATACAACAGGGTTACATCCTTACAAATCCGTTTTAAGTTGAAAAAGAGTATTTAATATACCCAACCAACCAAACTTCCCATCTTTGCAACATAGTACACTGGAGATTATTGGCTATCTACCTTCAGTCTCTCTGCTGCATGTCATGTCAGTGACATTGTGAGCTGAGTCCAGTGTCACCACTCTATTTACTTCTGCCACACTTTATTCCTCGAAATCCAATCAGGATGACCCAATTTTCATTCCCTCAGCATGCTCCTCTGCACCCTATCTCAGGCTTCTAACAAACAACATTACAATCAGCTGTCTCAAGAAATTTAACATTCATATAAGTCTCTTTTATATTACATAGTCCATATTCAAATTTCCTCAGTTGTCCAAATAAAATTCATCATTTTTTCTTTTATATTCAAGAGATAATATTGGACTGGTTATCATGTTTCCTAAGCATCCTTTACTGGAGAACAATTTCACAGCTTTTCCCCCTTCCGTGACATTAATATCTCTTGAGTATAGAATATCCCATATTGTGGATTTCATTGTTTCTCATAATTACATCGAGGGCACTTTTCTATGCAGGAATACAATGTACATATGAGATCATGCCCTCTCACCACATCACATTGGTGGATATGGGATGTCAATTTGCCCCAGTGTTGGTGATGAACATTTGGCAAGGGAGGCACTCAGCCCATGTCTTGATTGTAAGGATAGCTTTGCCCCTTTGTTTAACTATAGTCATACACCACAGAATGGTGTGCACTTACAAAGGTAGTCCTGTAACATTACAATGGGCATGGAAAATTCCTATTCCTAGCGACGCTGTAGTCATCATAGGGTCGTGGTTCAGCTCATTGTTCATGTGTCTGATGTGGTGATGCTGCTGTAAACACAATTATAATAAGCAATCCTTGCCACACAATTCATCTCAGCACTCTCACCCAGTGGTTGTAGGATTCACTGATAATCTTGCCTGAATTGGTTATTATTGTGATGGTTGCAAAAGGTACTTTTCTACTTATGTCTTTTTTGTCACTGCTATGAATGGGTGTTTTTCTGTAAAGAGCCTTCCAGGTTTATTCTTACGGCATCAGTTGGACTCCAAGTCACAGTCTGCTCACTTTGTTATAATGCATCCCTGTGGTTACTCATGCTGCTGATGCTCAACTTGTCCCAAACTTGGTCCCATAAAGCTGCCTTCTGGGCTCTGACCTCTACTTTGGAATGTAACTTATAATCAATTTTAAATTATCTTAATGAATATTTTGTTTCAAATCCATCTCAGAATAATAAGGAATAAAATATAGCTTATTGGTCCCTTGGTTGTATTCCATTTCTCATTGCAATAACTATCTATGGATAATAGGTTCTGGCTGAAGACAGGGAATGAAACAGCAAAGAACAAATGCTTCACCCACCTGCTCTTGGGAGTTTAGAATCTCCACCGCCCTGAAGTAGTACGAGTCTTTGCTGGCCTTGTTATATTCTTTCATGGCATACCAGAGCGCCTGTTGCACGTAAACATAGGATTTAGAGATGTTTTGGAATTTTCTTATAATCTTTGGTGAGTCCCGGGCTTGGATTCTTCTGGACAAAAGGGCCACAGTGACCATCAGGAGCAGCAGGGCCTGGCAGAGTCTGGCCATGGTGCCTCAGTCAAGGTGTCACAGGCCAAGGTCTTTCTGTTCTTCAAGGGCTGGGTCAGATGTGGACTTAGAGTGGGGGCGGGGGGCTACTGCCTTATGTCTGCAGAAATCCAATCACCCCAACTCTTCTTGCCACTGCTATGAGCTAAAAGGAAGGAACTTATGTTAACATTGTGATACTGTAATATAATAATAATTATGCATTTGGTCTTCATCCCCAGTTTCTGGCACACGGCTCTAAAACCAGTGGGATTTCCCAAGTCATAGGGTTCTAATAGGAGTGCATGTCTTATCTATAACAAGCCCTGTTTTGCCATAACTGAGTTTATGCTAATGAGATGGTTCTTTCCGAGTCCCTAGATAACCTCAGGTTGGAGGGTAGTTGGCAGAGGAACCGTGTGATGAACAGATTGGAATTTTCAGTCCCACCCTTGACCTCCAGTAAGGAAGAGGATGGAGACTGAATCCCTCACCAATGATCAGTGATTAGATCAATTATGCCTATGAAATGAAGCTTCTATAGAAACCCAAAAAGATAGGGTTCAGAGAGTTTCCAGGCTGGTCAGTACACAGAGGATCTAGCTGGAAGGGTGGCACACTAGGAAAGAGCCTGAAACAACAGGTACTCCTCTCTTCCTTGCCCTATGTGCCTCTTCATCTGATGAGCAACAGTAATAAAATGATAATTACAACAAAATATTCTAATAAAATTATTTAAGTTATGAATTATTTATTTCTGGAATTTTCTTAGGATATCCATTTCTACCTCGGAAGATAAATCAGGATGTAGTTTCTAAGATCTGGGGAAACTGGTTAAGATAGGTTAAATATAAATAATGAGCAAGCTAATATATTAAGAGACCTAGGCAGAATACATGAAGATTAAGTGGAAAGCAGAGTACCTCTAGGTTGGATGTACAATGTGATGAAAAACCCCAAGATGCATCTGATACCCCTCTGGCACTAAATATAAATGTGATACATACATGTTCATCTCTGTCTTTAATAAGTTCCCTCAGAACTCATGTAGAAATTTAATTGACATTATAACAGTTGTAAGAGATGAGACCTTCCCAAGGTGATTAGATAGTGAGGTCTCTCCCTCCATGAATACATTAATGTCCTTATCACTGCAGCAGATTAGCTTTGCAGGAGTGGTTTTGTTATAAAAGGAAGTCTCTCTCTCTCTCTCTCTCTCTCTCTCTCTCTCTCTCTCTCTCTCTCTCTCTCTCTCTCTCTCTCATGGTTGCCAACACTTCTTCCATGTTAGGACCCAGCAGAGGCCCTCACAAGATGTAGTACCTCAATCTTGGACTCCCCAGACTTTAGAACTATGAACCAAATAAACTTCTATTGTCTACAACATACCACTCTGTGATATTCTGTTACCACAATAGAAAATGGACCAAGACATTACTTAGCCTCAGTTGTAACCAAGTTGGACTGAAATGTGGGTGAACTGGGGACCCTCTGCTTTTGATTGGCATTTGAAGTCACGTGGAACTTGCGTTTTAAGTTGGTGGTGTCTTAGACCAACTCTGAGTCGTGTCAGGATTAAGTTGAATCATTGTACACCTAGCTGGTACCCACAGAGAATTGGAGAATTGCTTGATGTAGACAACCTACATATTGAGTGTCAGAAGTGCTATGTGGGTTTAAAAAAAAAAAAGATCCTAGTAGTAATTGGCTTCTATGATTTTTTTTCTCTTTCCTTCTCCAAAAAAGAAGGTGAATGAGAAATCTGCAATCTCAATTCAGCACATTTTTTCCCATTTTCTGTATTTTCTTTCTGGAAGGATCCATACCTCCATTCATTTGTCCACCTCATTTTCTTCTCTGCTGAGCAATCCCATCTCCTCATCTTCAAAGATCCTTTACATCTAAGGAAAGTGCCTATCTATATTAGGCCCTTATGAACAGATAGCACAAAAACACTCCAACAAGGAGAATGTGGTCTCTAAATTCTTTATATTCTCCCAGGGACATGTATTGCAATTCTCACCTGACTCTTTACAGGCCTCAGAACTGAATCCCAAATATTTCCCTTTTCTTGTCAATTAATTGGTAGTAGTACTCAGATCTATTTACTATCATTGAAGCTTACCAGGACCTGTGTATTATATCTCTTTTAATCATTCACATCCCCATGGAGGGTATAATGAGTAGCCCCGTTAACTCATAAAGGGGTCAAGCAAATGCCTACTTTATTTATGGAAGCATCAACTCTTGACTCATTGCCTGTTCTCACCCTACTGCTAAATCTACCTCAATCTAACAGACATACATCTGTAGATCACAACTTGGAATGTGTATTTGCTTTTGAGGATATCCATTTCTACTACAGAAGATAAATCAGGATGTAGTTTATAAGATCTGGGGAAACTGGTTAAGATAGGTTAAATATAAGTAATGAGCAAGCTAATATATTAAGAGACATAGGTAGAATACATGAAAATTAAGTGGAAAGCAGAGTGCCTCTAGGTTGGATGTACAATGTGATGAAAAACCCCAAGATGCATCTGATACCCCTCTGGCACTAAATATAAATGTGGTACATGCAGCTGGAATATTCAGAAGACCTCAATTGAGCTACCCTCTGGTGACACCATTCTGGCCCCATGTATTCTCTTCCTGAGAAATGCAAATCAACTGTCTGTGCAGGAGGCTTATCAAGGGGGACTCTGCGCACAGGCAGACTTGCTTGCATCTGTCCTATAAATGAATCAAGGTATACAACAGCCTTCCTTTATCTACAGTTTCACTTTCACTGGTTTAAATTACCCATATCATGGCCTGAAAATATTAAATGGAAAATTACAGAAATAAATAATTCATAACTTAAATGATTTTATTAGAATATTTTGTTGTAATTATCATTTTATTACTGTTGCTCATCTCTTACTGTGTCTAATTTATAAATTAAACTTTATTCTGGTTACTTCTTTATAGAGAAAAGAATATATGGTACTATCCACAATTCAGACACCCACAGATAAGGGGACTTCTGAAAAGCACTTCTGGCTACTGGACCACTTGGTTCAAACCCCCATCATGCTCCCCATTACCCCATCATCATCAGAGAGCACATGCAACAGAGGAAGGGGATGCAACCCAGGCTCCAGGCAATGTCATCTGTCCACCTCTACCCTGCTTGCCCTAAGCTGTAAGCTATTAACCTGCCCCATCTCATTGCCTGGCTTCTTGCTTGATGGTTAATACTGCTCTGATAAAGCTGAGATTCTGGCAGTAAGTCTTTTTATCCCCTGATCTCAGGATAGCTTTCCTGGAGCTTACCCAAAGGCAACTCAGAACTTCTTACACAGCTATACTAGAGACCCACCTCTGAACCAAGCTCTTGGTCAAGTTCCTGGGTGCTGGCCTTTGTGCCAACTGCCCTGGTCCACACGTGGTATTTGTATCTCTGACGAGGACTTGAGCTTATTGGTTGCTGTCCCCAACTGCTCTCTGCCACCAGCACACTCAGTTTATGTCCCTGCTTCAGGTCAAGAGTCAGTTGGGGCCTATGCTGCAGGGATCTTCTACCCTGTGACTCCACTTCCCAGACAGAGGAGCACCCCTGCAGCCCCTTTGTGAGGTCAGCCAGTCCCTGTGTGGCTGCTCAAGTGAGGGCCCCTCTGAGCAGGGGTCCCTGCAGCCCCAAGAGGCCACAGCCTTCTTCAGAAGCACCTCAGTCCTCATTCCATACCTGATGTTGTTCTGTTTCTGGGCTCTGGGCTGAACCATCCGAAAGTGGTTCCATGGTCATTTCTCTCAGGTCCCCTCTACATGACCCCATGGATTAGGAGCAGGACAAGGAACCAAAGAGCCAGGCTCAGGGGCTTTGGGATGAAGAAGCCCTAGGGAAGGGGAGGCCAAGGGATGATACCTGGGCTAGGAACTAGAGTGCTAACCACTGGCAGGAACTGTCACCAGAAATACATGGCCAGCACCAGCTGGCAATGGCCATGCTGACCTGAAACACCTTGGGGTGAACGAGTGGACAAATGGCTGAATGTAAGAGCCAGCATAGATCCTGGTGACCTGTCAGCCACCTCTTCTCCAGAGTTTTTAAATCTGTCCCAGGTAAGCATTCCTAATTTTGCTTACCTCCCCTTGGCTAGCACTACCTCTCATGTTTGTGATCTGGGATTCTAACACCTGTCTTCCCAAGCCAGGCTCCACTGAGAAGCAGAGCTCACCCCACTCTGCACTGAGGTCCACCATGGTGATAGTGAGGGAGCACCCAAGAACTCAGAGACTTGGACATTAACATTTCTCTTTTAAAGATGAAATACAGATCAGCACAAAGCAAATCATATCTGAGATAAAATCCCAAATAGAAAGTCAGACCTGAGAATCATCCTGTCAAAGGTTAAAATGTTTGAAATAAATGGAATTTTTTTAACTAGGTAGCCCTTTCTAAACAAGTACAAAAATGTAGAAACCAAGGGAAAATAATAATAAATTCAGTCACACATTGTGCATCAGCAAACACACACACACACACACACACACATGCACACACCCCACAAAGTCAAGAGATGAAAGAGATACAGCATAAGGTATTTGAAACATATTTGGCAAAAGGCTAAATTCCCTTTAAAATCTCTTTAAAATAATTTTTTAAAAAAACTCTTTAAAATCCAAAAGAAAAAAATTTTTCTTAATTTTCTTGGCTTAATTTGAGCAGATAACACACCCCAAAAGAATCTATTTCCCTTCTTGGCCACACATCAATTAAAGATAATTGGCCTGTGGTAAGTAAGACCTTTCCAACTGCCCCCATTGATCTACCTCAATTGTTCTACCATCAAGTAGGAACCTGATGTCTTGCATCCAAAACAGAACACAAAGGTCCAGAGGAAGTCGCATAACAAAGAACAGAGAGACACCCACATCCTTCACTGTGAATCCTACAGATCTGGACAGGAAACCATGCATTGTAACCCCATGCCTCCTCCTGCGTATGGCAGTCCTGGTAAAAGGCAAAGGTGGTAGGTGGTGTTTGCTGACTTCTGTGTGGAGGGTGAACCCCAGCCTGAAGGGGGATGAGAACAGTTATCAGCTCCCTCAGGGAAGAGCAGGACCCTAGCAGAGGTCCTTTTGCCTCCTCTCATAAGTGGGGGTAATAGAGAGCTCTCCTTATTCTCCTGGCAAAGCTGAACTCCCTCTCACCTCACGAATACACTGTGCTCTGTGGAGTCATAAGGAGCAATACTTATTGTTCCAGCTACCATTGTCATATAAGAAGCATTTTATTTTGCTCATGATTATAGGAATTACAAAGATTTAGGAAGAACCCAGCTAAGTGGTCCTCACTGAGGGTGTCTCATGAGGCCCAGTCAAGAAGTGGCCAAGACTGTCCCATATTACATATGGGGATTTGTAATAACTTTATTAAAATATAATTCACAAAACCATATGATTCATCCTCTGAAGCACATGATTCAGTGACTTTAGTATATTCACAGAATTTTATATCCAAACCACAATCAATGTTAGAACATTTTCACTACCTTAAAAAAAATAAACCCCACACTCCTTAGCCATCCCCTCTCTGTTTTCCTATTCCCTTCTAACCCTAGGAAACCACAGATCTATTTTCTTTCTCTATAGATATGCCCATTCTGGTCACTTCCTATAAATGGAATCATGCTATACATGAACCTCAGTGTTTATATTTTTTTTTATTTATTATGCTTTCATATTTCATCCATGTTGTGGCCCTCTGTTGCTACTTTCTTTTCATTGCCAAATAATAGTCCATTGTATGGATATCACACATTTTATTATCTATTTATCAGTTGATGAGCATTTGTGATATTTCTACTTTTGATTATATGACTAATATTGCTCTGATCATTCTTTTTTGAAAATGTAATACTTTTTAAATTTTTTATTAATGCACTATAGTTATACATAATTTGGGTTCATTTGACATAATTATACAAGCATGGAATTTAATTTGCTCATTCTTATTCAAGCTTTCGTGTGGACATGTTTTTATTTCTCTTGGGCATGTATTTAGAAGTAGAATTACTGGATCACATGATCAGTGTGCTTAACTTTTTGAGGAACTGCCAGAAGTTTCCCCAGAGTGGTGACACCATTTACACATCCCCACCAGCAATGTAGGTGTGTCCAATTATCTACATCTTTGCCAAGATTTGTTATCCATCTTGTTGATTATAGCCATCATAGAGGGTGGGAAGTGAAACAAATGGCAAGGGTTTGACAAATGTGTCTCTGGAATTTTTAATTTCAATCTCAAAGAGGTCTTATAATTTTTTAAAAGACAGAACATCCAATAGAAAACTTGGGGAAGAGTCATAAACACAAAAGTTACAGAAAAAAAAGAGAATATTTTCAGTCTCTACAATGAAGGTTCAAATTAATCAACAAAATAGTATTATTATTTACCTATACATTGGGAGAAAAATTAAACATGACAAGACTGGACTAATAGAAATGACAAAGCCAAACTGATAAATCACCTTCATGCACCATGGCAGAGTGGAGATCCAAGAGTCTTTGTTAATAGCCATTGATTTAACAATCTCTGTTAAACATTTAGAGGTTACATATTCATCAATGCAGTCTTGTGCTTAGGACTTGGTCCCATGAAAATATTTGTCTTCCTGCACAAAATTGTAGAAAAAAATTACTCACTACAAAACAGCTTCTAATAGTTAAAAAAAAAAGAAGAAAGAAAGAAAATAATCCAACTCTCTATCAATAGTAGACTACTAAATAAAATGCATAGTATGAAATGGAATCTTCAAAAAAATCAATCAAAATGCATGCAGGTAGTGAAAGAGATCTATCATACATATATGTTTATAAAAAGGTTGTAAAACACTAAGCAAAGAAGAATCTGGATATGTTAAGAATAATGATTTGTTTTGCTCAAAGGAAAGGAAATCTGGTTCTTTTGAACCATTTACAGACTGTACCTGAGGGATAGGATACAATGTGATTTCACTTTTGAAGTTAATTATTTCCATAATGCTGGCTCTCTTCCTAAACATAATTTTACTTAATAGGTCAATTTTCAATGTAAAAAGTAAATGTAGGTAGGCCATAAAATGATGAAAAACAAGTCCTCACCAAGCTCCTTACCTCCCAGTTCCATTTCCTGGGATGCATAAAGGATATTGTGACTCCTGGATATGAACTGTGAGGGGGCAATTCACCACTTCCCCTTTATTCTTCCCTCTTCCTCTCACTGTTTCCATAAATGGATAGTAGAATGGATGGATGGAGAGGCATAGAGAGATACATAGATGGTCTAGCAGCTACTATTATGTTTAAAATGTAATCAAACCTCTTCTTTTGACTAATCAACTCCCAGGAGCCCCTTTGGAAACTTTCTCTGCAGGATAAGGAAGAGTGTTGGGAATCCTGCCTTTGCATCATCGTCTCCTGTCAATTATCCTCATTTTTCCCCTTCTCATAACTGAGTTTGCCCATCACATAACCTAACACTTTGAAAATTTTTAAAAAAACATATGCTTAAACAAGAGGCATAGTAAGATTTCTCATTTTTAAGTAAGATTCTTTGTGTGATGGTAGATTATCACTTTAGTCATGGTGGAGTTGGGCAACATGGTGGAGTTGGGAATAAACAGAAAGGAGAAAGGTGAATTAGTTCAGAGCTCTGAAACTGGTTGAAATAATGCATCCTGGTGGAAGGAGACCCTCATCATTATTCAAAATACATGTATGAAGATGTGAATTTGGTTTTCAACATACCTTATATACAGAGATATGATAAATTGTGGTATAAAGGTGTATTCATAATTGTAATGCAAAAATAATATTAATAATAATAATAATAATAGAGCTCATGTAAAAAGTAAATAAATAAAAATTAAAAACAAAAAAAGAAGGAGTCAAAGGTGATCCTGGCAAAAGGCGTGGGTGGTATAGACTGCTGTGGGTAAGAGAGAAAAGGCAGGTTTGGGCAGGAAACATGAAAAGTTGGATTTGGAGCAAGTGGAATATCAGGTACCAGCAAGATGCAACCGTTTCAGGTGGTCCTCATCCTACTTGCCCTTGCCAATCCATATCCAGCCAACTGTCCCATTTTATACTTCATTAACACTTATAAGAAATTATCTTATTTAATTTCTCACTGGTCAGCTGTCTACCTTGCCATTGCCCAATATCATATAGAAAGGACATTTTCCATCTACAATGACTGAATAATGGCCCATGACTGATTAAGTCTAACCCCTGTTCTGAATACATGTGTTATTTGCATTATTTGCCATTATCATCAACAATATAACGATCATTCAGTATATACCCGCCGTACTTACCCAATTTCATGCTTAGGACAATTTTCAAAGAAAGCATCTAGTCAGCAAACATAAAAATGTTACAAGCTGCATCTCCTCTGGCCCTTTGAAGCAAAGTTGCTGGGCTGCTGTGTATAGATATAATGATTGACATATAGGCCATTTCCAGTGAAGTGAGGTAAGAGGAATGCAGGAAAGGAGAGAAGAAGAAGAAGAAGAGGGAAAAAATGTAAAGAGGGAGATGAGGGAATGCAAAGTAGATAACCAGGAA